GGTTTGAGAAAGAAGATAATTACAAACTAATCAGAAGCTTCTCAACTTACTGAATACATGGAGAAGCATAACACAAATGGTAGCAAGAATACCTCAAATAGAATGAATATTAAAACATATACAAAAGAGCACATGTGGTCAAGAAAACAAGACAAGACATTCTCTCAAACATTATAACGGCAATGATTCTAGGACTCCTATCAGTATAATTACATGTATTTTCCCCATTTAAAGCTTGCCGCAGAATCACAAAAACGTGAATCAAAGAGCACAGAGTTCTTGCCCCAGAAGCAAGTGACATATTTCAGTCTCATTTTAAAATTAGAATCCAGAAGAATTTCTACAGTACCAGTAAGTCCAACTTCATATACGCAGTAATCAGTATCTTTGACCAGAATATATGCCTCTCTCTGGTTATAATAACAATAATAATAATCCAAAATCAAGTATCCAATACCAACAGCAAACCCATCTGATGACTATGCTGTGTGGCATGGTTTCCCTACTGATAATCAATGCATTGACATTCCAAGAAATTTTATCAATCTAAAAAAACAGCAGAAATAAGGAGTGGGCAAGCTGCTAGACACAATTTTCATTGCAGTTATAAAAAAGCATCTGGCCTTCTCAGTTGTTTTCTGCAGGCACATAAGCATAAGCAGATAAATCATATGATAAAGTGGTGAATTCATGAACACATGTAAATACTAGCCCAGTCCTAATGCTTGGTGCAAAATATTAGCAATACACTATATCTGGTAGGCTTACATAGATGATTCTGACTTTTACAACTTATAGTCTAGAAGTTTGGGTGCTGAAATTTTTTAAAAACTAGCCCAGTCCCAATGTCTGGTAGAAAGTGTTACTAAATCTGTTGTATCTGGTAGGGACTACATATTTTATTCAATTTTTACAACTAATAATGTAAAAGTTTGGGTGCTGAATGAATATGATATCTCTACAATCAACTAATCTATAAAAATTCAAATTTCAAACTGGGCCTTGGCTAACTATTTCCCATATAGCCATGCTTGGAGCCACCAAGCTGAAAATCTAGACACTGCCTAATTTATTCATTTTTACACATTTTTTTGCCATATCATAGAAATCTAATTTGATTATTAACAGTTATTTCGCTGATCAGTCAATCCACATGACTCAAAAGCATCAAACTGTCAGCCAGCAAGTCTAGTGAAAATAATGATTGAATATGTGGGGGAAGTCGAAGCTAGAACTAGGATGGTGGGCCTAATTAGGTAGTTGCACTACCTGAATCTCTCACTCTAGAAACACAACATTCCGACGAATGCTTAATTAGGAAGATCAGAGAAAATTTAAGGAAATGCCCATGCTCCAGCAAGCTAACAAGAATGATACCGATTTGCCCCATATATCAGAACAAATTACCATATAAACAATGCAACATGTATAGGTGACAATGCAAGCAACATGGGACTAGAGCAGTCTTTTCTGGCTGTTGCTTTATCCAACCTACACATTGAACTGAGAATCAGATGTCAACAAATGGAAACTAACTCAAGTTTGAAAGAAGTCTCCCTCACTGTGACCAGCAGGTGGCATATCGCCATAAACCTAACCGTCACCACTCAATGTGGTGAACTTCAACTTAAAAAAAAAATGCCAGTCAACAAATTAAGAAAACAAAGATTGAAGGGCACCATTTTATTGCTCTGTTTTGTCTCTTTAAAAATGCTGTAACTCCCACTTGCTTTGGATCCATGTACTTCTCAATCAATGTGTCAATTGAGTCAGATCCCACAGCATTTTTCATGAGCAAAAAACTTCTCAATCCAAATCAACATAGGCCCCATTCGGTTGGGGGATAAGACTGATACCTTATCCTCCTTTATCATGTGTTCAGTTCACGTATAAGGGGATGGGATAAAAATCCGGGCAGCGGGCTTATTATGATTTGCATGTAAACTGAAAAAATTTATCTCAAGGATGCCAGCGTGAGAAATTTCTTCACATGTGTAAAAATTTTTTTGAATAATTTTGCCCCTACAAACCACTCCTCCTCTCACCCACCGTTGGCCTCTCCTCACCATTGACGGCCTTTCTCACTCCGACGCCTGCGGATCCGCAGGCGCCCTCGCAGGCCCCTGCTCTAGGCACTTGCAGATTCGTAGGCGTTTGGTCTGTAGGCGCCAAGCTCCTACGAATCTACAGGGACTCCACTCCGGTGCCTGTTGATCCACAGGCGCCTGCTCTGTGCCGCCTACGTGAGCGGGCGCCGGATCTGCAGACGCCTGCTCACGTCAGAAGAAAAGAGGCCAGGCCAGTCGCTGGAGGGGAGGCCAGGCCAGTCGCTGGAGGGGAGAGGAAGGTTGGCGGAGAGCAGAGGGAAGGTGAAGTTATGAGCATGGGTAATTTGATAATTTAATATATTATCTAGTTTGTTATCTGAATTGCTATTGAGGCAACCAAAATTGTGATAAAAATACTATTATTACAAGGATTCGATAAATTTATCTTAACTATCCTGTCAATCTATACCTTTTATCTCCCAAACCGAATGCTCCATAGAGTAAGAGGAAACAAGCTTAAACCACAAAACGCAAGAAACAACGTAAATACGATGCAATTAACCAAGGACCTCTAGGCATAACATATCGGTGATCACTATCACCTCTTAAAATTGCAGTAGATTTAAAGGAATTTCAGGCACTTTAGAGCACCAAGGGTACAAAACCTAAAACAACACAGTAAACTTGGGGGCAAGCAAAATTTCTGACCTGCAAGATCACCGAATGAATAACATCGGCATACTTCACCGCCAAATTGAGCGACATACATCTTGCGCGCGCTATCGCATAACATCGCACATTACTCTCGGAATCCCACCGAACTCGTCGCGATGTTTCACCACCATTACTGTCAGCAATGCAGCCACGCCAGACCCCAACGAGTGCCCCGCAAACACCATCCTATATGACGACCCATTCTCCACCCACAATCGCCTCAAAGTCTCCGATTCCTGATTCAGCAACCAAACTGCAGATTTTAAAAGCCCGTGGTGCACGTATCCACCGTCGAACATCTGCATACCCAATCGATTATCGAGAAGGAGCTTGTAATCGCTCTCTTTTGACCAAATTGAGGAGCGAATGGTTAAAACGATCTCGCGGTGGTCGTGGTCGGGTAGATGAGGTAAGGAGGGGCGTTGCCCTGAGTCTGCTCGTAGGTGACTCGCTTGACGACCCAGTCGGGGTTCATGCGGTAGCCACCGGGGAGCGAACTGGGGATTTCGGAGGTCCTCTTCGTAGACCGCGAGGGTGACGCGACAGACGCGGGGGACAGGGTCGAATTCGTCGGCAGTGGCCATGGGCCATGTAGCGCTGTCGTAGGAGCCTATGTAGGTGCAGCGCTTCCACCCCCACCGGAGGCACCCCAGCACCACCACGCACTCAACCCCGCACGACACTGACATGCGGCCACCCACGCAACACCAGCACTATCACTGTGCAGGTGCAGCTAGCTGTTCTAATAACTCGTCCTTCAAGAGGAGAGAAAAAGCGAAAGAGAGCGAGTTCTAGAGAGAGAACGTTCCAGAGGATTGATCGATTAGGACAGCCGTTAAGATTGATTCGGATTTATGTATTAAACTTTCCCCTTAAAATTTGAACTAGGCAGTAACACCACGTTGAGTGAGGCAACGGTGGCGCCGAGCTGTGCTGCCCGGCTCGAGACAGAGGGAGAGAGAGAGGAGAGGAGGAGAGAGAGCAGCGAGGATTAGACGGAGACGGAGGAGAAAGCGCTGAAATGAAATAATAATTGTTTGTTGTGATTGGGGAACTGCTACTCTGTACGTTGCCACATGTCCGTGCTAAATTTTTCCTTAAATTCCCTCTGGCAGCAACCAAGTACTGCTACTCCTCCGTACATTGCCACGTGTCCGCGCTTAATTTTTCCTTGGCCATTCCCATTATTTACACTCATTTTTTAAAATTTATTAAATTTATTTTTATTTTTTTTGTGAATCATGCTTTTTTATTTTTTATTCAAATAATAATTTGATATTATAATTATTTTTAAATAAAATTTTTACTGAAGATATGAATTTGTATTAAATTAATAAATTATCTAAATTAAATAAAAATTGATCCAATCAAAATATCATAAAAATATATAATAATTAACAATAAAAAAATATATATTAATGTTAAAGGATAATATCTAATACTCTGTGAACAAAAAATATTATCTTATTACCATATATGTAATTGTTACGTAATTCATAAACTGACCACAAAATATATAAAGAGATTTTTAAAATAATCTATTCAGCGAAATATCAAACTAGTATTCACAAAGAAGAAAAAATAATTCACAAAAATTTCAAATGAAAAAATAAAATGAATAAATTAAAAAAAAAGTAGTGAGTGTAACAAAAAGATGCCAGAGGAAGAAAATTGCTAACTCGAAAATGAATGAGTGTGAATAAGGGGAATGCCAAAGAAGAAGAAAACTATTAGAGTGGAAAATTTAAAATTAATATTAATTTTTTATTGCTAAAATAAGTTAGTGGAGTATTATTTATGAAAATAAATTAACTTTTTTTAGTTGAAAATTGACTTTTGGAAAAAAAATTCATTTCTAAAGAACTAATTCCCTGGTGAACCAATTTATAAGACAAATTGGTTCTCTAGGAATTGATTTTCCAACTAAAAAGAGCCAAATGGGGTTTTGTTGCAAGGCTCTATCTAGTAATGTGTAGAGTTTCATTCATGGAGTCCTACAATACAGGGGTATTCATGAAACTGAACTAAACTGATTAAACCAAGTAAACGAACAAATGGTTTGGTTCGGTTTGAGTTCACCTGTGGTTTGGTTCGGTTCGTTTTGAGTACAGTTTTTGATCTATGATTCGGTTTATGATTTAGACATCAAATCAAACCGTCTAAACTGAACCGAACCATACCTAAATCTTGCTCTGAAACCAGAAATTCAATTCAAAAAAATTCAAAATCAGCAGGAATAAGCTACTATTCAGCTGCAACGCCGTAAGCGCTTCGAGCAAATTCAAAGCAGATATTGAATTAAAAAACAATAGAATCATTTCTCAATTGCTCGCTCGGGGACGTAAAACTCACAGTATTGATTGTGCTCTGCAAATTCTGTGCAGCACCATAAGCCGAGAAAATCAACAAGAAGGCGAAGCTCAGAATATGCAGATCCTTGGTGTGGCTCTTCGGTTGTGTTTTAGTTTCCGACAATTCAGCAACCAGAGGTGCTTCCTCGTCCATGGCTTCTGATCAGCGCAGACTCACTTGAATTTGCTGCAGCGAGACCTATAAACTATACGGGTGAGTCAAACCTAGAACAAGTAGACATTGTTTTATACTGGGGTTGTTGTATGAGTCAGGTGGGTAGCTAGAGAGAGAGTGGGAAGAGACGGACAGAGAGAGACCGACGCGACTGTATTGAATTACAAGGCACATTTAAAAATTGAAATGCATGGAAGGCATCGAAGAATCCGAAGATGAGACAGAGACGGCGAAGAGAGGGGCAGGAGGAGGAATCATTGGGATTTTAGGCTTGTTTGGTTGTCGAGAAAGCAAGGGAAAATATTGGTTTGGGTTTGATCCCTTGGCACGGTCTCCCTGGCCAGTTCGGTTTCATTTAATGTTATTTTCTGTTTTTGTTTGTCTTAGTTTGATGCAAGAATTGTAAGTGATGGAGGGCATTTGGCTCGGTCTCGAGTCTTTGCACTAAATACTTTTGTGTGTTTTTTACTATGTGTGTTTCTTATTCTGTGGATAGATTGAAAATCAAATTACATTTTATCTTGTGTTAATTAATATCCTGAGATATTCAATGTCTAATTTGTAATTTATTTTTATTTTTTGATAATTATGTGCTGAAATTATGTCCTAATGATCAAATTATAATAAAATAAGTAGAAATTATATAGTAATCTTTTGTTTCAAGTAACTTTATTATGTGCACTTATTACGTGCACTTATTACCTATTGCTTCCATTTGTACAATTATAAATGAATATATTTAATTAAACAGATTTAAAATATTTTAAATATTCAATTTTTTAAGAGAGGTTATATCAAATTTTTTACAAAAATAGTGAATTAAAAACCCTTTTTAAAACCGAATCAAATCGTAAACCGTGATTTGGTTTGGTTTGGTTCTTGAGGGTTCATGGTTTGGTTTGGTTTCTAGAAATCTCAAACCGTGAGAATATGATTTAGTTCGAAGTTAAGCCTCAAATCAAATCAAACCGAACCACGAACACCCCTACTGCAATAAAAGGACGGGAAGAAGGAACGAAGAGGAAGAAAGGGAGAGAAAAAAATTAAGAGTTTTCATGGAAGTTTAAAACAAAGGAAAAAAGAGAGAAGCAATGAAGAGGAATCGGGAGGAAGGAGAAAGAGGAAGAAAAGGAAAGAGGTCCCGCCGCATGGAACCGCGGGATCCCTGCAACATACAGGTGGTAATATACCAAACGGGATAGTAGGACTTGGCTGTAGCCAAAGGCAGCAGCCAAATTGTTCAATTTATTGGCATTATTTGAAGGAATGCCCATCTGTCAAGCAAAAAAAATTATTTCCACTTCTAATAGACATTAAAATATTTGGAATCGACGTTATGCAAAGTGTGGTCTCTAATATTGGAATCAATCCTCACTGCTTCATTTCTACTGGTTTGGCTATGTTAAATTCATGATTATCGTCAATAATAGAGCAAACCAAACATAATTGTGGAAATACCATCTCATATTTCAATAATTTTTCATTTACCTCCTAAAACTGATGTTAAAATTACATATTAATTCCTTGATTTTTGTTGTTCAACGGTTGCGTTACCCCCTCTTCAAAACTGGGTCGACTCAGTCCCTTCAACGGTTGCATTGCCACCAGCACTCCTCAAAGTTGGATTGACTCAGTTCCTGCAGTGGAGGGCGGCAGTTCTTTCCTCTTCTCTGGCAAAATTGTTCATTGATATTTGGATGTTATGCCATAAGCCGTCGGATTGGAACTTGGAAGTGGGAAGAATCCGACATCACAGCAGAGAGATTACAAATGTTTTGAGCATTTGATTACTATCATTAATCTGGTCTTGGGAAATACCAGAGTACCGGGACAGCGAACGACGTTATTGTGGGATGTCTTTGTGCTTCTTATAATGGTTGGAACGGCCTTCAAAAACAACGGCCCATACAAAATACTATTACAAGCCGTGGCTGGGGCTGAGGGTGGCAGATACCCCACTCAATTTTTTCAACTAATTAGATATATTACAAAATTATTATAAAATACCTTTTAATTTTCTAGTTTTGTACCCACTAAAAATATCTATATAAATAACTTAAAAATTGGCTAATAAAATTAAATTGATATAAAAGTTAAAGGTGAGTTTAAAAATAAAAAAATAATAATGTTGAATTACCTTTTTAAATTGATAAATGCAAAGAAAATGGACCTTTTTAAACTAGTTAAATGTGTCATTTTCTTTGCATTTACTTTGATTAATATCTCTAAACAACGGTTACAAATTATAAATGATAGTGAATGAGTTTTTATTGGATGAAGTGTCATTATTTGTAAAATACACGATATTAACATTCCAAGTATGGAGGAGATTGTTTTGCCTAAGAGAAACATGACGTAGAGCTCAAGATGTCAAAAACTTATTTCATTATCGTGTTGAGTTTATTTTATACTGTTGTATATATGCAACTTCAAAAGTTTAATGATCACTTCACTGAAGTAAATACTGTGTTGCTTCTTTGTATGGCTTGCTTAAATCCAACCAACTCATTTTTTACTTTTGATAAGAATAGGTTGATTCAATTTGCTGAGTTTTATCCAAGTGAATTTTCTCCAATTAATTTGCAAATTTAAAAATGTTAAAACCTTGGAGAAAAGTTAGTTGAAACTGAGAGAAATATTATTTATCTATTAGTTTATCAGCTTGCTAAGTTAACATTAATTTTGCTTGTTACAACAGCAACAGTAGAAAGAACATTTTCTATTATGAAGTTTGTGAAAAAATCGTTTAAGCAATTAAAAGAGATGCATGAATGAATGATTTTTTAGTTATTTATATTAAAAATGATGTTTTCAACAATATTGATAATAAATTGATTGTTCAATGATTTCAAAATATGAAATTACATCGAGAACAATTATAATATATATTATTTATTTTTTTATTATAATTAAAATTAAATTTTTTATATTATTATTTTTTATAATTTTTTTATTTATATTTAATGCCTCCTGTACTGTGCTTTAGGTCTTGGCTCTTTCACTTATTACAAGAACAGTTAGAACAGGGAGCCGGAGACCAGCTGGAATGTTAGCAGAAGAAGTCGTGCTATCTGACACAATTCAGTCGATCAAGCTACCTAAACATCTACAGATTATCTGCCATATTAGCTTCATTAAGTAATAGTTCATGATCTAAATCATTTCAAACATCCCAGAGGAGAGGATTTGTTTATGCCACAGTTTTTGGGTTTGTGTATTTAGTTTTTAAAGATCAAAAATCAAAATAATTGGATAATCTTAAAATCTTAAAACTTTTACACTCCAACCTAAAGACAGTGGTACATACTTTTTCTTGATTTATTTTTCTAAATTTCAAATTTAAGAAGGTAGAAGGGTAAATATCTTAACAATCTTTATATAAATTCATTTTAATTGAAAAATATTACTAGAATTTGGGGTGAGTGTAAAAACTTCTTAACCCAGTCTTTTCGCTTGACCTTTCAGTAATTCGTTAGTTTATATTAATATTTATTTAATAACAATTCAAAATTTTATAACCTGTCGATTATTTCGTTCACTTTAGTGACAGATTAAATTTTAAAAATCCATCAGAAATTTTCAGAAATTTTAAAGACTCTCTTCCATTTTTTTATTTTTTTATTTTTCTCTCCAAGTGAACCCATGTTTATTTTCCTCTGTGTCCTTCAAAGGGGCCAGGTGGGCCAAAGGGCCAATAAGTCCCCTCAACAGAGACAATAAAATAGGAACCATGACCTAGTTTAGGGGAAGCAATCACCAAGTACTTACTATACTTGGTACAACATGTTTATTTCAAGGCAATGGCGGAGGTAAGACCCAAAGTATAGTAGGGGCATTAATCTAAATTAAAAAATTATAAAAAAATAAAAATATAAAAATTTTAACTCTAATTATAATAAAAAAATAAATAAATATATTACAATTATCTTCGACACAATTTCATTCTTTGAAATCACTAAAGAATCAATTCATTATCAATATTATTAAAAACATCTTTCTTAATATTATCTTGATCATTTGTATCTTATTCTAGTTATTGAAATGATATGATAAAATTTTTCACGTTTTTCAGGATCAGTTGACAAATCTTTTAAATTAATTTTTGATTTATCAATCATTTGTTGATTATTTGGAGAGTTTTGTGCAAGATCAATATTATGCTTACAGTATATTTTGTTTTCAAATCATATGTAGACATTTTCAAGAAAAAAATCTGAAAGAAAAAGAAATCAGTAAGACACTTCATTTTTTTGAATATATGACTTTTTCAAAAAAAAATATAAGTATTGTCCCGTGATAAGAATGTGGTAGGCTATTTATAATAAAACCAATAAACCAATGCAACTATTGGGAGCCAACATACCATCCATTATTGCAAATTATATAACAAATAAAACAACAATTACAGGAGTCAAAGACATCGAAAGTCAAAATAATTACCATTCATTCATTGCAAATATATAATAAAAAAGTAATTGAAAAAATGATTGCTGTCCATTCATTGCAAATTATATAATAAAAAATTTAACAATTACAAGATCTAAAGCTCTCAAAAAATAAATATTAACCGCCCAAACATGACTTGCAAGCTTGCAGAATATAATTGTAATTGAAAATAAAGAATGAATGAGTTGCAGACCTTCTGCAGTAAAAACTTATCTCTACAAAATTTAAATTAGCGAACTGAGATATAGAGAGACTGCTTACAAGAGTGTTTTAGAAATCAAAATTACATAGAGTTAAAAGAGGGTTAAAATCCAAAAACTCAAACCTTTATTTGAAATCATCAATGATAAACAAAAAAAACTCTATTTTCACAATTTTAGAGAAAATTTGCAACCCGAAGATGAAATAAAACTGTAATCACAAAGAAGAAGAGATATGAAAAACAAAATAAAAGTAAAGAAAATGGTATCTTTAACCAGTTAAAAAGGTCCATTTTCTTTACATTTACTAAATTGAAAAGGTAATTCAGTATTATTATTTTTTATTTTTAGACCCACCTTTAACTTTTTTTATTATATTTAATTTTATTTATCAATTTTAAAGTTATTTATATATATTTTTTAATGGGTGCAAAAACTAGAAAATTAGGAAGTATTTTATAATGATTTTGTAATAAACGTAACTACTAAAAAAAAAAATTGAGTGGGGGCATTTGCCCACTCTCAGCCCAACGTGACTCCGCCACTGATCCAAGGCATGATAAAGAATTCAGCAGGTAATAAGAATGTGTGACTTTTCAATTCAAGATTAAACAAGCTTCTCTTTTGTGTAATAGACATCTGTGCCCATAGCATTGACGTGGTCGTGAGTGGCTGAGAAACCATGCAAGGGCCGAAAACCTAACAAAACTAACAATGCTGACTCTCAGAGATGAGTTGGCCAACGATGGGAGAGACAACACACCAACTACCAAATCTTACAAGACACCTCTCAAGTAAGTACGACTAGAAGTAATTAAGATCTCACCTTGGCACTCAAAACAATCACCTAATATGTGTAAACTTGGAGAATTGGACATCACTAAAAACTCCCCTTCCCACACTCCATCACATTTTATATATTCTTCTCGCTACATGCCACTTCTTCAACCAAAGCAAGACAGATGGCAAGTCTCTGGCTGTCACTAACAGTTACCACCCTGGCGTTCACAGCCATGGTGGCGCCAGATTCATCTGTGCCGCTTGTCACTTACATCTTTGGAGACTCCTTGACAGAAGTTGGGGAATAACAACTACCTGCAGTACTCACTCGCCAGATCAGATTATCCCTTCTACGGGATTGACTATCCTGGTGGTAAGGCAACAGGAAGGTTCACTAATGGAAGGACAATTGGCGATATAATATGTAAGAGATCAATTCAAAAATCAAGTACTTCTTCTGTTATAATGTTGTAGTGGGGTGGTGCTAATGCTTAAATTGTTCTTCTTCTGCAAAATTCTGCAGCTGAAAAGCTTGGAATTTCATCACCGCCGCCTTACCTTTCCTTGTCTCCAAATGATGACGCACTCCTTGAGGGGGTAAACTATGCCTCTGGCGGAGCAGGAATTCTCAATGACACAGGGCTTTACTTTGTAATTACTGTTTCCTCTCTCTTCATATTGGTTCTAGTAAGCAGAAGTCTGCTTAAAATTATCTTGGTGTTTCTTCTGAATTTCAGATTCAAAGATTAACATTCGACGATCAAATAAAGAATTTTGAGAAGACGAAGGAAGCAAATTAAGATGAAAATAGGAGCAGAGGCTGCAGAAGAACACTGCAATAAAGCCATGTACTTCATTGGAATTGGTATGCTGCTGTTCCTCAGCAATAAGGCAAATGATAAATGCATTTCACAATACACCTTAAAGCAAAGATGAAGGAAACTTTTCTTCTCTTAGAGAGTGAAGGAAAAACTACTTTTTCTCTGAGAAAAACTTTCCTTCTGCCCCTGTTTCCGCAGGCGCCAACGATTATGTCAACAACTTCCTGCAACCATTTTTGGCAGATGGGCAGCAGTACACTCACGATGAGTTTGTGGGACTTCTAATGGCAACCTAGACCAACAACTTGTGGTAATTTTTGATTCATTTTCTACTATGATTATCAAACTCTGCTACAAATAGAACAAATTTACAAATAGAATATGACCGGTGAATGAAATCTGATACCGGAATGTGTTGCCTGATTTCTTGTAACAGAAGCTCCACCAACTGGGTGCAAGAAAGTTGGTCTTCCACGGGCTTGGTCCATTAGGCTGCATTCCTTCACAGAGAGTGAAAATCAAGACGAGGACAGTGTTTGAAGCAAGTGAATATATGGGTTCAGGAATTCAATTCAAAAGTACAAAATCTATTCGCATCATTAAAACCGGCACCTTCCATCTGCACAATTTACATTTGCAGATACTTACGGAGACGTTCTTGACTTAATCAACAACCCTGGCTCCTATGGTAAGCTATCACATTATAAAGCTTTTGCAATTCTTTAAACTGGCATATGGTATCATGTAATGCTGATGATAAAATGAAAATGAGAATATTTAAAAAGTGTGTTTGATAAGTATTTTGAGATGGAAATCTTCATTTACTAAAGTATCAAATGAGGAAATACAAATTTCATCCTTTTATAAAATCCTTACTTAATTATATAATTATTATAATCTTTTACTTTTTAAGTAAATTATAAAAATATCCTCTAAATGTAAAATTTATAAGTATTTATAATATTATATAATATAATATATACATATATAACTTATTACACACACACACATAATGTCAGAATAAAAAAAAATTAATTTTTTATTTTTTAATATGTTCAAAATATATTAAAAGTTAATTTTTTTAATTTCTAAATCTTTATAATAAAGGATATTTTTGTCTTTAAAAATTTTTTTTGTTTCATTTATATTTCTATTCCAATATACCAAACATAATGATAAAATAAGAATCTTTATTCATCAGTATATGTCTAATATACTAATAAAAATCTTAATTTCATTCCATTTTCATTCTAACGTCCATTCTTATTTCATCAAAAATCATTTCATTATACTATACGCCACTTAAAGAGAAAACTACAAAGTTAATCACTTCGATAAATTATTGACTTGGAGGGTCAATATCAAAAATATTGATCCCAAAATATTAAAACAAAAAATATTTGCTTAAAAGATAATTTAATTTTCTAAAATATATTTTTCATATTTTTTCACACCCAAATTACAAGTTTATTTGTAAATTAAAAAACATGTTACCGGGGATATTAAAATAAAAGAAAAAGAGAAACTGTGGGAGAGATCTAGTTGAGTAATTAAAGGGTATTTTGAGAAATCTAATTATCTTATTTGTGCTAAAAAATTTAATTCAAACTGTCAGGCCCTTTGAGTCAATAATTTAACGAAACGGATCGACTTGATAATTTACCCATTCTTTTAAGTGCTAAAATATTTGAACGTTGAAGATTTTTCCTTTTTATTTGCTTCAACCAGGGTTTAAGATCTCCCACACCTCTTGCTGCAATGTTGACACAAACATCGGAGGATTATGCTTGCCAAACTCCAAGCTGTGCTCCGATCGAAAAGACTATGTTTTCTGGGATGCATTCCACCCTTCTGATGCAGCTAACGCCGTTCTTGCAGAAAAATTCTTCTCCACTCTATTCTCTAATGCTGGTTCACCCGCATCGCCTCCTTCATGAATTTCCTCATGAAAAATATAGTACTAGTTCTAGAGTTCGGAAATTCAGCAAAATGAAAAACCCCCACAAACATAAAAGCCAGTGTTGATAGATGTATACACAGAGAAGTTTGTGTCGTACACAGAAGCATAAAATGGTGGTGAAACTGAAGCACAAATGTTACTCCGGGAGAACTTTCTGATGCTGTATGTCTATTATATTTATTTGAGTAATAAGCATTCTATATGCAATATCTCACGAGGTATTACAACATAGATATTTCGAAATCAAATGGTGTTTTAACACAATGATATTTAACTTTTCGGTGCCATCATTTCCAAGAATTTCAAGGATGACCAATCACACACCACGGATGTGATCAATAGAATTCTTGGAAATAGTTGTCATCCCTCAAAGTTATACAAACAAAATATATAGTACAAAATTTGTTTTGTTTCTTTTAACTGATTGTGCTGGGATGACTTTGCATCTTCTAATATTTTTTTAAAATTTACAATCTTATTTTAACCTATATATATATATATATAAGAGAGAGAGAGAGAGAGAGGGAGGGAGGGTAAGAGATTTGTTTCTTTTTGTCATTTTAAAAATTGACTTTTATAAAACCAAGTTAACATTTAAAAAAGAAAAAGAAAAAGACCTGTGAACCCCTGACCACTTCTTCTCAAAAAGCCAATGTAAGAGCTTCTCCTGAAAAGTTCTCGACAGATATTGGGACTTTAAGGGAACGATATAATTGACTCATAAAAACGTAATTACTCCACCAATTTCTTTTTTTTTTTTTTCTTTCTTGTTTGGTAAGAAAAAAGGTCCTTATTAAAAAAGTGTGCACATATTAAGCAGAAAAGTAAAAAAACGCATTTCAATAGCTGCCTTTTTGCTTTGACTTATTTTGGCTTATTTACCCAGTCACCAGATTCAATAATCGATCGCGTTAACTCTGTCGGCAAATAAATAACTTTTACTTTTACATGGGCTTTATATATATATTTTTTATCTTCAGAAAATTCAAAATTTTTATTCATTACTTTCGTAAATTAATACAGTTTAACTTGACGCCAGAAGGACGGCGTTGCTGAATGAAGTCCCCGCGAGTTTAGAACCAAGGCTAAATTGGTGTCCTGTGAATTGCTGTACTATTTTCAATGACTTGAACTTTAAGGTGAGTTAAATTTGAATTTTATACTCTTTAACTGATTAAAATATTTGATAAATTAAATTTAATTATAAATATTTATAATTTAAAATAAATAAAATAAATATAAATTAAATAATTCAATTAATTAAAAATTTGAATTCAAATATTTTTATAATATTTTTTATTTAATTAATAATAATATATATTAATAAATATTTTTATATATAATATAATATAAATGATATTATAATCAATAATACATTAATTTATATTTGTAAAATATTATATTTAAAAAAAATAATATATATTTTTAAATTATCCTAGAATATTTTTCCACTGTTTCTAATTTTAACTTTTCTATTAAATATTATATTTAATAATTAATTACTTTTAAAATTTCACAAATTACTTAAAAAATTGATTACAAAATTTTTTAAATTTTAACTATAATATAAATAAAATTTGATAATTTTATAAAATATTAAAATCTTATCATAATTTTTATAATATATTCTATAATAAAAATTCTTCTCAATCATTCATAAATAATAATTTATTTTTAAATTTTATTTATATTTTAATAAAATTAAAATAATTAAATATAAATCTTATATAAATTTTTATGATTCATAATAACAATTTATTTAATTTTATATATCTTTTATTTATAAATTATTTAATTTTAATTATTATTACATGTTATTTAAATTAATTTTTTTTTTCAAATTTCAAAACTTTTATAATAAATAAAAATTTTATAAAATTTTTAATCAAATTCAATTATATACAATTTAAATTTAAATTATCCTAATTTAATTCAAATTCAACCTATTTATACCATACTTCAACCCAAGGTATACCAAGTAACAACTTTCCACCTTTTGCTTTCACCATCTTGTTCTTGTTAGTCATTCAATTTTGACCTTTACAACAATTTACCCCCAAATAACTTAGCTAGGCCAAAATCAAAAGAGAGAGGCTTTTAAACAAACCAACCATACATCCAAACCAGATTTCCTGCTTTATAAGTAGAGGTAGGCTTTTTTTGACATGTTTGGATTGCCAAGTGTAAGCATCTTCCTCTGAATGTCTGACCATTCAGAGACTTGGGACCCAAACCTTTTTAACTCCTAAAATGATACAGTGCACGCTCGGATCTGACGGCAGGTTTTCAAAGTCTGTAATTCTTTTAGCGTTTCAACATGAACACATAACAAACCAACCTATTAAATAATGAAAAAACCACGACTGTATCAGTATTGAAGGCCTCAAGGGTAACTACAAAATAAAGCGTTTTATTCGAAATCCTATCATCCCGTAAATTCAAACTTCACGATTTTCATATTTAACTGAAAAATATAATTCTAACCATTTCTTTTCATAAAAACAGAGTGGAAATCGAGAGCATTTCATCTTTTTGGGTCTTGAATCCAGGAACCGCGTGGTATGGTTTTGCTTTCTGCAGGAGTTTCTGAATTTATGCTTCAATTCAGTTGTTTTTTGTTTTAGTTGAAAAGATACTCAACTGTGTCAGTAAAGCCACCAAACCCATAAAATTACACCCTCTCTGAAAACCCAACTGATCGAAAGCACAGAGAGAAGGCGCGCCATTATCTGAATGAATCTCAAGTGTTTTGCTAGGGTTAAACCCATGAATCATTAATTAAGAATATAAAAAGGCACACAATGGAAGGATTACTAAATCTACAAATGGATAGTTATTTTTGAAGTCTAAATTTTCAAAAAACAAATTCAATAGTTCTATTACCTAGTCGAAAACAACTATCGATGGATCATTCCACCCTCCGATCGGATCAGGTTTCAAAAAATTTTTAAATCGCAAATGCTGTTCGAAGAAAAAAGAATCTAAAACTCAATAAGGCAACCGTGCTCTCAGTTGAAAGGCCAATAGTTTTCCACATGAGAAAGCCGAGGAAGGAGCAAACCCTTCAAAGATTTAAGCCAAAAATGAGGTAAGCCCCTGCAAGCAAAGCGCCAGGCAGCGTCTTCATCTTCTCCCTAAAAGATAGAGAAATTTCAAGTCTCTCGCTCTTCTAGAGAAAAGATTCATCAAACACCAACAGGCACCCTGCTAGAGGGAGCTTCATACCTCATTTATACCTTAAAACCAAGCGGGTCTGCACCCGATCCGTTCAGCAGTCTCTTCGGTGTGGTTAAAGCAAAACAATCATCATCGAGCACTCCGACAAATTATATTCCT